CCGCAGCCAGCATGAGGGGCCTCCCCCAGCTGCTGTAACAAATGAGTGCTAGCTCAGCGGCTTTGAGCCCTCGCTCACTCTCAGTTCCTGAGGTTGGACATCCAGAACGAGCGCCACGGGGCTGAAGTGCAGGTGTCACAAGCTGGGCTCCTTCAGGAGGTTCCAGGGGGCACCCCGTTCGCTTGGCTTCACAGCTTTTGGAGGGACCTGCTTTCCTGGGCTTGGGGCCCCTCTCCATGTTCAAAGCCAGTGACTGTCCGGCAGCCTCAGCTTCTTTCTCCTCCTCCACCAGATCCTCCTGCCTCCCTCCCAGAAGAACCCTGGAGATTGTACCGTCGGCCCATGAAGCCCCCACCTGGAAACCCGTAACTCAACCACACCCGCAGAGACCCTCTTCTCTGTTGTTACTGTCACATTGATGTCAGTTCATGGCAACCCCATGTTTCCTAGTAGAACTGTCCCATAGTGGGGGGAGCATTTGCCTGAAAACAAAGCTCAGAAGGTAGGAAAGGACTAGTGGAGACATGGAACCCAGGGAGGACGTGGGGGGCACTGTGACACTGAGGGCACTGCAACTGAAGTCAGAAAACAAAGCACGCGGGAACAGTTGACTGGGAACGAACTTGCTGTGTACACTTTGACGCATAAAAAAGAAAGCCTCATCACAGGGGAGGGTTCGGGCACGAGTGTCTTTGGGTGCTGTTGCCCGGCTGCCACACAATAAGCCACTGGTGACAGTGACCCGCCACGGCCATCAGGTCTCCTGGTGCCATACCCCGGCCAAGATGCTAGGTTCAGCCTTTCATAGGCCCCGGGCCCCGGGCAGCACCTGCCACCAGCCTAGAACTTGTTCCTCAGCCCCGCTGCCAGCCCGAGGGCCCGAGGATGTGAGCGTGTGGAAATGCGCGTGGTGGCAGAGGGGTGAGGACAGGCTCACCTTCCTTTGTAAGAGCCCATCCAGAACGTTCTTCGTAGGGTCAGGCTGGACAAACGCCGAGCCTCCACGTCAGGGGGAAACAGCCATGTCTGGGTTCCCCAGCAGAGGAGTATTCCAGAGAGGGGAGGAGGAAAAGCAAGCCCCCAAACAGGACCCACAACCAAGTCCACTTTTGTGAAAGGAAATCCTGCATGTGTGGTACACACGTTGGGACACGTGATAAAGGCCTCAAAACCAAAACCTAGCTCGATTCCAACTCAGTGACCCCCACCGGGTTTCCAAGGCTGTAAATCTTTACAGAAGCAGAGTGCCTCATACTTCTTCCGTGGAGCGGCTGGTGGGTTCGAACCATTGACCTATTGGTTAGCAGCCAAATGCCTTAACCACTATACCACCAGAGCTCCTTAATCTTTTTACAGGGGTATAATATGCTTGGTAAAGTGGAGGGTTAGTGAAAAGAGGAAAGACCTTCAACGGGATGGATTGACACGGTGGCTGCAGTGACAGGCTGCAGTGACAGGCTCCAGTGACAGGCAGGGCTGGTGAAGCTGCTGCAGGGCTGGGCGGTGTTTCATCCTGTTTACCCAGAGGCACTGAGTCAGAGCCGACTCGATGGCACCTGACAACACCAGCGTTACTTTACTGGTGGTGCAGTGGTTAAGTGCTCAGCTGCTAACCCACAGGTCAGTGTTTGGAAGTCCCCAGCTCCAAGGGAGGAAGGGCTTGGCAGGACCCTCTGGTGAAGACTGCAGCCTACAGATCCCTGTGGGGCAGTTCTGGGGTTGCCAGGAGTTGGAGTCGACTTGACAGCACCCAGCAACGACAACATCATTTTACAATTTTAACAAGGATCAATACTGTCTGGTGGCATGGTGCCTAAAGCACTTGACTGCGAACGAGAAGGCTGGCGGATCAAACCCACCAGCCACTCCTCGGAAGAAACGTTGAGCAATCTACTTCCGTAGTGATACAACCTTGGAAACCCAAGGATTGGTCGCTACGTTGGTCGCTACGAGTCGGGTCTGACTCGAGGGCACATATAACAATAATACTGTCTCAAAGAAGCAGTTTCAGACCCTTACAGACCCTGCTTCCTAGGGAAGACAGCAGAGGGGAGTTTGAGCGGCCTTCCTGGGAGTTACACCTCCAAACCCATTCAGTGGCCACTGTGCTGTGCGGCCCGCTGCTCTGGGCAGGGCCTTGTGGAGACCAGTAGTTCACAGACACAGGACCTGGGGAAAGCTCAAGGCCAGCCGCACACCACAGGTGCTCAGTGAAAGCGGTGACTAGGAACGTCCCTTCCTTGGCAAGGCTGACTGTAAGCCTTGTACACCCCACGCCCCCACCCAAGGGACTTTGGAAGGATGCCAGCTGCCACTCCACACTTAGGGTCATAGGCTAGGGTCCACAGGTGGCGGGACCAAGGGCAGGAGCAGCAGAGTATGGTCCGGTCTGACTGGCTCGCTCCTTGGCTGAGGAGCTACCATCCTGGTATCTCAGGACCTCGGTTTCCCCATCTGCAGAGAAACTGCCCTGACGTCGCAGGGGCACCGTGGTTTTGCCTTCCAGCTGCCCACAGGGCCAGCTGATCGACTCCCAGGCCTGTCTGCAGGCAGACACTGGGCCCGTGGTCCATTAGTCAGGTGTGCCATGGGTGTGGTGGAGCACGGTGGCATAGAAGCCAGGAAGCTGCCATCTCTGATGGCTCTGCCGTAATTCTGCACACTCAGCAGAGCATCACAAGACAGGGTGGCAGCCAGGGCCACTTGGTGGCACAGGGCTGTCCCCACTGCCCTGTTGACTGCCACTGAGGCTCAGTTGCTCCTGATACTCTACCCCCACAGCCTGCTCCCGCCTCCACCCAGCACACAGACACCCCACTTCACACAGCCCCACCCCCACTTCCATCCCCCACACTCCAGAGCTGCTCCCCGGGCACAGATCCCTAGAGAGCTGACATGCCTCCACCCACGCATCAAGAGGGCTGGGTGCCTAGGACGGGGAGCTAAAGCTTGAGGCAGCACGAGTGCCAGAGAGGGGGACCCTGCAGGACTTGGAGGGCGGACACGGAGCTCCCGCACAGTGGCACCTCAACGGGGCCCAGCATGTCCTGTCCTGCCATCCCCCTGGGGAAAGATAACTGAAGAGCAGGGATGGAGGCAAGCCTGGCCTGCAGGGGTCGCTAGGAGCCCTGCTCAGCCTCTGTGTGTGCACATGTATTTATGTGGGGGGGGGTGAGTGCACATATGGCGTGTGCATGTATGTGTGTGTGCATGTGTGTGCACAATGTGTATGTGTGTGTGTGACATTTCCACACTGCACTTGGCTGAGTGAGCCCCTTCCCAGCTAGGGACCCAAAGATGGTGCTGTGGTACCCTGTGGCCCTCCTGTCTCTCAGCGTTGACAATGACAGAGCCACTTGGGGCCAGCCACTCTGCAGCTACCCTAGCCACCTTCCCCCATCAGTGGAAAGTCAGCCTTGGCTACTCAGGAAGAGCCCTGGTCCTTCAGGGGCCACGGCCAAAGTGGCCGTTTACCTGTAGGCTTCACTCAAGATAACAGTGTCTCCCCACCTCCCTGTTTGTGGCCCCTGCCTAAAGGGGAGGTAGGCCACAGTCCCATAGCTGTTTCCACCTATCTGCACAGGCCTCCTGCAGGTACCATTCTTGCTTTACAGATGAGGAAACTGAGGCCGAGAGAGAGAGAAGCCTGACTTGGCTAAAGTCGCTCAGGTGGCCGGCCCCCAGCTCTGCCGTCATGCCACCTTGCTCCCTGCCTGGAAGCAAAAGCAGAGACCGAGTTGCCGTGGAGTCGGCTGATTTGCGGTTGTCTCCTGTTGTCACACAATGGGGCTCCATGGGTTTTCAGGGAGCTTTCAGATCTGCAGGCTGTTCTCCCCAGTGCTGCCGAGGGGTCCTGAACCTCCAGCCTCTCATTCAGCAGCTGAGCACTTAACCATCAGCATCTCATTTCCTGTGGGCTTCGTCAGGACACTACCTGGGTCCTGACCTGCCGTCCCTGCACCCGTACCCGCGACACCCCGTGGTCCAACACAGCACAGAGCACCATCAGTTCCGGGCCCTCTCCTGGGGTTCTGGTGCAGCCCAGCTGGACCCTGCAGACCCCAAGGCCTGCAGGCTCCCCTGGCCTGGCCCCACAGCTGGTCTCCCCAGCAGATGCCACCCTCCGAGGTCTGTGGAGAAGCTGGGCTATAGATGGGGCAGCTGTGGCCACTTCTGCCCTTGCCCATTCCCACATCCTGGCATGTGGTCTGAGGCTTTCCCATCCCTCAGCCAGCAGTTGTCCTGTGGATGTGACCAACAGAATGGCACACTTTTGTAATCCGTCCAAGTCTTATGTTAAACACAGTCCTGCAGGCAGCCCTCATTCTATCGCGCTCCGTGGATACTGTGCGCTGACAAAGCTTGTCAATGCCATATTTCCAGCAGTGTGTACTCACTTCATGTGTCTGTGTCCCATTTTGGTCATTCTCACAGTGTTTCAAACTTTTTCACATTGCTACTGCACACGTAATAAACTACCCACCCAAAAAAAGTGCCATCAAGTGGATTCTGCCTGTAGAAACCCTGTAGGACAAAATAGGTCTGCCCCCGAGGGTTTCCAAGGGTGTCACCATTTATGGAAACAGACTGCCTAATCTTTCTTCCTTGGAGTGGCTGGTGGGTTCAAACTGGCGATCTTTTGATTAGCGATGAATGCTTTACGCACTGCGCCCCCTCCCCCGCCTCTAATGAACCGTGGTAGCACATACTGTACACTGCGATAGGCTACATAGTGTGTCAGCATGACTTTATACGCACCAGGAAACGCAAACATTCATGTGCCTCGTTGCTTTATTAGGGTGGTCTGGAGCCAAACCCCCTGATGGCCCAGAAGAAGACTGCTCAGGTGAAGTGGAGGCTGTCAGACCCAGAGACCCTTCCACTCCACCTTCTTGTCCCACACCTGCCCACGGCCACCTGAGTACTTGTGGGGAAGGCTGGTGGGGTCTGGGCTCCCGAGCGCCCCGTGCGCCCCGGCACGCGCCCCACCGCTGGCTTACCTGGAAGCCGCGATCTCCGCCTTCTGCTTGGCGATGGTGGCGGCGCGCTCGGCCGCCTCCACAGCACGGTCCACCTTCTCACGGATCTTGCTGGCGCGCAATGGGATGAGGTTCTTGCGCTTGCCGCTGACCAGCACGTTCTGCTTGTACTTGCCCTCCTCCTTTGTGCCGTCGGGGAAGGTCATGCAGCCGTAGCCATGGCGCTTGTTGGCGGCCCACTCGCCCTCGTACCGTAGCCCGTCCGAGCGCTGGCTCACACCAAAGCCCGCGCGCTTATCGTTCCTCCACTCACCGACATAGGACTCGGTGGTGGTGGCGTCAATGTCGTCCTCCACAGCCGACAGCTCGGCCTCGCCCTCGCCCAGGCTGATGGTGGAGTGGATGTCGCTGGCCGTGGAGCTGACGGTGCTCATGGCTGCCTCGCTGCGGAACGAGCTCTGCTTGCTGCGCTGGCTCGCCAGGCTGCTTTTCGACTCGGACTTGCGCAGCTTCAGGCCGCTGAGCAGCGAGCGCCGGAACAGCCCCTTCTTCTTGCCCTTGAGGACCTCGGGGTCGCTATGTGCCACCAGGACGAAGCCGCCGCGGGACACGGCCGGGCTGCCGGCCACGGCGGGCGCAGTGTCTGGGAGCAGCGCCGTGCCGTTGGTGTGCTCGCTGCGCAGGGAGTTGATGGAGGTCCTCAGGGGCGAGCGGATGACCGCCGCCATGCCGTACGGGACGCTCTGCCGCACTCCGTAGCCCTGGCGCATGCCGCCGGCCCACTGGCCCTGGTACGTGCCTGGGGAGACGAAGGACAGGGGTGAGCGGGGGCGCAGGCTGAGTGAGAGAGGGCTGCTGTGTGCATTAGTGTTAGGGAATCAGCGTTGTTCTCACCCAGCCCTATCACTGACTCCCCTCCCCAGCCTGGTAAGGACTCCAGAAGAGAACACAGGGACTATCATTGCAGAGCCAGCAAACCAGAGGCCTGGAGGCTGCATCTTACCAAAGGCAGTCTTCGTCTGTCTCACGCGGTGTTTTTATAGAGAATTAGCATTAACTGCCAACATTTCAAAACCAAGAGATTTTACACAAGAGTCCAGATCGCTTCTGTCTCCTGAAAAATCAGAGGACCTTGCAGCCCCAGACCTTTCATTTGAAATGGCAGAAACAGACTGGAATCCAGCAGCAGCTGCCCCTCTTGTCAGGACCATACGTCCTCCACTTTGCCTCACTCGCCACCACTCCCTACTGTCTCCCACCCAGGCCCCCTCCTTCAGTTACATGACCTGCAGTAGAGGGTAAAATCCAAGCAGAATACGGGGCCTGAAGCCTTGCAGTGTGGCCCCAGATGAGCTCAGCCAGTGAGAGGGGGTCCTTGACACTGCCCACATAGCCTTCCTTCCTTAAAGTCCCCACCCCTGCTCATATCCCCTCCTCAGTGCTCCAGCCCACAAGGCCAACGCAACTCCACACCCAGGCCCAATGCACTGCTGACTGCCCCAGGATCATGGGGAAAGCAGCCCCTGGCCGCCCAGTTGGCCTGGCCTCACCGTGACCCGGAAGGTGGGACTGGGACGGTGCCACATGGGGTCTCCTTTGGAAATGATTATCCTTGCTGTTACCATTGGGATTATACACAACGGAACACGTGCCAGCTCAGCAGCTCCGTGCAGTTGGGTTCAGGGACGCCGATGATGTTCTTCCAGCTTGCAACCATCTCACCTACTCTTCTCAGTTGTTTCTCACCCATTAACTAAACTCACTGCCCCCTGACTGTTCTGATAGAGCTGGTTGAGACCCCCTAGACTATGGCCCCTAGTTACCCTTCAGGTCTGGAATTGAGCTCACTCCCGTGGTTTCCAGCCAAACAACAGACAGGTGTAACGGGTGAACGTTTACACCAGGAAGATACACTACTTAGCGCAATCATTCACGGGAGAATAAAAAGGCAGTGTTAGCACAGGGAGACAGCTCGGGGCAGGAATGCACAAGAAAGAAGGACACAGGGAAGAGGTAACCACAAGGAGGAAGTGGGAAGAGAGCTGTTACATTGTGGGAATTACAATCATTTGTCATGAAACAAAATGTGTATAAACTGCTGTATGGACAATGAATTTGCTCTGTAACCTTCCACCCAAATCACAATAATAATAATAAAAATGGTAACAGCCACATCACTGCCCCATAAGTTTCCTATCTGACCTTTCTGGTTGCTGTTGTTAATCTGATCCCATAGAGACGGATCTCAGATGAACACAGTGCTCCAGGCTGACCCATATGCATGCTGTCGTCATCTGGGTTTTTTCTTTTTGAACGCTTTACTGTGGTTTACGTGGAAGTTCACCCAGCACGTTAGTTTCCCATTCAATGATTTATACACACTTTGTCCTGTGACAGTGGTTGCAATCCCCTGTGTGTAACAGCCCTCATCCCACTTCTCCCTGGGTCCCTTCTGCCGTCCATCTTTCTTTCCTGCCCCTTCCTGCCTCTGAGCTTCATTTTGGGGCAGATGCTGCCCTTTGGTCTCGTGTGGCTGACGGCTTTGATAATCTGGTAGGGGTGGTAGTTCATCTGATAGTGCTGTCTGGTGTCTGGCTGCAAGGTGATTTCTGGGAGTGAGTTCAGTTCCAGGTTTGAAGGGTGTCTAAGGGCCATAGTCTTGGGGGTTCCACTCGCTTCCATCAGACTAGTAAGTCTGGTCCTATTTAAATTATTTTGAGTTTTGTTCTACATTTTTCTCCCACTCTGTTCAGGACTTTCTGTTGTGATCCTGATCAGAGAGGTCAGTAGTGGTACCAGGTACCATCCAATTCTTCTAGTCTCAGCAGTGGAGGCTGTGGTTCGTGTGGTCCGTTCCTCATGTGGACTCATTGTTTCCTCGAGTCTTTTGATTTTCTTCACTCTTCTGTGCTTGGGGCAGGAAGAGACCAATAGTTGTGCTCACGAGGTTTTAAGACACTAGTCACTATTCCCTCATAGCAGGATGCAGAACGCTGTCTGCATGGACTGTGATGCCGGTTGACCTGGACATCCCCAGGATGCAGAATGCTGTCTGCGTGGACTGTACTGTAGTTGACCTGGACGTCCCCAGGACCCACAGGGCTTTCAGTGGCTGATTTTGTGCCAGGCTTTGCTTCCACAGTGTCTCTGGGTGGACTCAATCCTCCAACCTTTCGGTCAGTGGCCATCGCACAGACAGGGACTCTGACTTAGGATAGCTCTGTCTTGTTCAGCGTTTCTGAAGTGCATGCTTCCTGCTCACCTGGATGACAAGCTGCTGAGAGGAAGTGCCCTTGAGTTCTAGTGTTTTGTTCTCCATCTGCTGTGTGGCCCAGCCCAGGGCCGAGGAGAGATGTGGAGGGAACACAGACCCGGACGGCATCCCCACAAAGAGCCTGAGAGCTCTCTGCTCCAGGAGACCATAGTCCAGAGTCTCAGGGCGGCTCAGAAGCAGAGCTTGAGATGGGGCCATGTGCACGTGATTTATGGGGGCTGAGGAGTAGGGAGCTCACAGCAGAAGGGGTGCAGGACACAGGAGGGCCACGGCAGGCACTGAGCCTGGCATTACTCCCACTGTGAGACAAGGGGCCTGGACTTTTGCACCCCTAGTTGGTGAGGGGCAAGTGTCTGGGGAAGGTGCCAATTTGTCTGCCCTCTGCACCACTGGCAGTGGGGGAGGTGCTGCCCCTGCCAGGGAGAAGGCCTAGATGTAGCACTAGAGCAGGCTTTGAAGGCAGGCGAGCCTGGGTTCAAATCCCCACTCCTCTGCTACTTAGTCACATGTTCATCCATTCATTCACCCACTCATTCATTTAGGTGCTGTGAGAACCTGCTCTTAAAAATCCAGTGGAGTACAGTTCTACACTGACAGACATGGAGTTGCCATGAGTCGGAATCCATTGGACAGACACCGATTTTAGTAGTAGCCGGATTCAGAAGAGGGCATGCAACAAGGGATATCATAGCTGATGTCAGGTGAATCTTGGCTGAAAGCAAGAATAACCAGAAAAATGTTTATCTGTCTTTTATTGGCTACGTAACAACATTCCACTGTGTGAATTGTAACAAACTGTGGATAACATTGGGAAGAATGGGAATTCCAGAACACTTAATTGTGGAACCTGTACACAGAACAAGAGGTAGTTGTTCAAACAGAACAAAGGGAAACTGCATGATTTAAAATCAGGAAAAGGGGGTGCGTCAGGACTGTATCTTTTCACCATACTTACTCAGTTTGTATGCTGAGCACATAATCTGAGAAGCTGGTTTATATGAAGAAGAACACAGTATCAGGATTGTAGGAAGAATCATTAACAACCTGCGATATGCAGACAACACAGCCTTGTGTGAGGAAACCGAGGAAAACTTGAAGCACTTACTGATGAAGGTCAAAGACTACAGTCTACAGTATGGATTACACCTCAACATAAAGAAAACAACAAGCCCACAAATGGACCAGTAAGCAACAGCATGATAAATGGAGACAAGATTGAAGTTGCCAAGAATTTCATTTTACTTGGATCCACAATGAACGACCCATCAAAGCAGCAGTCAAGAAATCAAATGACATATTGTATTGAGCAGATTTGCAAAGGACCTCTTTAAAAAGTTAAAGAGCAAAGATGTCACTTTGAAGACTAAAGTGCACCTGACCCGAGCCATGATATTTCCAGTAGCCTCATATGCTGCATGTGAGAGCTGGGCAATGAACAAGGAAGACCACAGAAGAACTGGTGGCATTTGATTTGTGGTGCTGGCAAAGAGTACCGAATGTCCCGTGGACTGCCAGGAGGAGGAACAACTCTGTCTCGCAGGAAGGACAGCTGGGGTGCTCCTTCTAAGCAGGAGTGGCCAGACTTTGTCTCTCATACCTTGGTCGTGTTGTCGGAAGGGACCGTCCCTGGAGAAGGTTATCATGGTCAGCAAAGAGGAGGAGGAAGGCCCATAGTGAGATGGGCTGAGACAGTGGCTGCACGGTGGGCTGAGCAGGGCAGCAGCCGTGAGGTGGCGCAGGACCGGGCAGCGTCTCAGAACCGACTCCACAGCACCTAAGAGTAAGGAGTGTGTGTGCCAGTGTGTGGTGTTGCTGTGTGCCGTGGAGTGGATTCTGACTCACAGCGACCTTAGAAGACAGAGCAGAACTGCTCCATAGGCTTCCAAGGCTGTACTCTTTACGGGCGTACACTGCTGGGTCTTTTCTCCAGGGAAGCAGCTGATGTGTGTGAACTGCCGACCTTTCGGTTAGCAGCCAAGGGCTCACCCACTGCACCATCAGAGCTCCTTTGTGTGTGTCTGTGTGTATGTTTGTATGTACCCCGTACCTGCACACATGGTGCCACGTACACCGTATTTTACAGGCTGGCTCGCTGATGCTGGACCTGGGCGGTTCTTTCTCTGTACCTTGAACACAGGAGAGCTCCATCAGTGCTGCTTAAATGACTGAATGAACTAAGGTGGGGCTAAGGCAGCCGTCAGGAGACAGGAAGTGAGGAGACCACAGGGAGCATCTTTCCTGCTTGGACAGCGTGGCCCTTCGTGGTGGTAGACACTGTTCATTCAGTGCTCAGAGACGTGCCCTGATTGCGACTGCTCTGCTCGTTAAAACATGCTCACTGAAATGCCATTACTCACTTAGTCAGCGCCGTCCATCTTCCTCATGGAAAACCGTGCAAGAGTCTCTTATGAGCAGCAGCAAAGCCAACAAGGCAAAGGGATCTTGGAGTCAGAACGGTGGCGCCTCGAGGAGCTTGTGCCGCTGGGGTGGACTTGATGGAATGAGGGTCTGTGGGAAGTTTTCCC